ATTGAGATGAAGCAAGTCAGCCTTATCAAGGAAAGCATATTTTAGGTGGGAAAAATGATTACAACAACAGTAACTGACGGAGGTATTAAAAACTAGCAGTTACATGCGTATAAATTATGTCGCAAGTATCCTGCAACTTCTAATGAACAGAACCCTACAGTACCATCTGCTCAGTGTTGAGTAAGGTCTGCGAAGCTTTTACACTAATGAAATCGAAGCCCTCTATTGATTTGGGTGATGACAAGCCCAAGTTTGCCATGCCGGGTGAGAAGAAAAACAAGGCATTGAAACTTGCCATCCTGTAAAGATGAATAGGCTCTGCACCGTTCTCCCGCATAGATGTATCTAGAAAGTGGATGTAATTTTGCTGATTGCGGTGTGGGGGTTGATCCGACGCCAGCCCTTACAACATGACGTAAAGCCTCTCTCCACTTTACGTGTAACAAGGTGTAAGTGGTCTGCGTGTTTTAACGGAGTCAACACGGCTACCACTGGCCTGCTGTCCCCGCAAGGAGAGCAACGACACTGGGGAAAGATCTTAGAAGGTCTGTGCAGACGGTAAGGATCTGCTTTTGGTAGCCTCCTGTGCAGGCTCCGGGGCGGGTGGGAATTTTGATACAGCGTTTTGAAGAGTTTTTAACGCGTTATTTTAATAGCTGGTCGTCCTACAACCAGCCGTGGGTGGAATGGAACCTTCTCTCTTCAAAACGTTGTATCAAAATTCCCACCCGCCCCGGAGCCTACTCAGGAGGCTATGGTGATACGTTTAGTGACATATATGCTGTGTATGTACCTTGTTTGTAGTTTCCCGTTTAGGAGTTAGGGTAGCATATTGTACATAAACACCAAGCAGATGTTGGGGTGGTAAATCGACACGCGTTTGTCGCCCTATATAGTTTTTGACACGCTATTACCATAGAAATTGTAGCCTCCACAGCCTGGCAGAGGGCGCAGGACAGAACTGGCTGGAAGACAACTTGGAGAGGCGCGACGCTCCCCGGAGCATGCGATGCTGAGTGAGTGAGTGAGTGAGTGAGTGAGTGAGTGAGTGAGTGAGTGAGTGAGTGAGTGAGTGAGTGAGTGAGTGAGTGAGTGAGTGAGTGAGTGAGTGAGTGATCAGGCTTTAGAAGCGGCTGGAAAGATTAAAAATCGGCCAAATAGACAGATAACATACCAGGGGAGTTTGCCCCCTAAAGTAAAGGAGTACTGTTTGCTGCTCTTGTACTCCTTTAGTAGCCACCACCAGGCCTTTCTACCGGAATACGGATCGTAGAATTCGACAAAAAAAGAGAGTAAAATTGGCCAAGTGAGTCCGGCCGCGGGGAAGTAGTTTCTTTCATTCCGACTACGCGCAAAGGGATTTATTGCTCCAGAGCTAATCCCTTTGTACAGAAAATGCGGATTAGTTTTATTGCCTTTCATCGCACCGACTTTCCACAGCGGCCTTCGGAGGGAAAGAAACTACCTCCCCGCGGCCGGACTGCCTTGGCCAATTTTACTCTCTTTTTTGCTGAATTCTACGATCCGTATTCCCGTAGAAAGGCCTGGTGGAGGCTACTATTTGGCCAATATCTACACTTTCTAGCCACTTCTGAAGCCTGGTTGACCCTATATGACGATCACGTATTCATTGAATTGTGTGCACGTACTTCTTCGTTTTACCAGACTTGATTATTTAGTACGTTTATTTAGTACGTATAATATTTGTGGTAGAAAAACGTGTTAAGCCAAACAAATTGTGTTAAACGTTATTTTGTACAGTAGTTTATTTTTTTAGGACATAGTACCTATTATGACAATTTCTTTTTGGTAGTACGAGTTAAATGGGATAAATAACCAAAGCTGTTTTACCAGTTGTCCAGACAGTAGTCAACGCGGCCGGACATGACTCTATGTAGCGACATGATGAAGAGTCACCAGTGCCAAGATGACATCAATGTCTCGTCCAGGAAACCACCAGGTAGATGAAAATGTTTGACTTCGTTTCAAACGAGATTCTTACTCAGAAACCATCATACCGTAGGAATGAATTAAGTTTTGCTGACTCAGTGTTATATTTCAAACTAGCCGTCTGTCATACTCCTACTTCCTTTGACAGCATGGAAGTTCATCTGAGTTGGTTATTTACATTGATAGTGAAAATTTTAAACTGTTCTCCAACTCAAAATATTAGATGAAGGAAGCCATATACATCAGGGACACCAACCTTCCCTAAACCGGGACGGGGGGCGGTATCGACTTCCGACGAACTTAGGTCATATAGCTGATGAAGACCAAGAGATTCGGTCTAAAATTCGGGTGATCTATTAATGTCTTTGAGTTGGAGAACAGTTTAATTTTTCATTGTAGGCAAAAAACATTGTTAAACAAAAAAAATAATGTCAAGTTTGGGTTCAGTTCTCCAGATCACTGTGTCTGGATACCGACAGCTGGATGACGATAGCCTGGCTCCCGCGCCCTCAGACATCATGCTCGGTGACTTTGCGGAAAGTTTCCCGGACTTGGACGACGTGGTCTACCGCTTCCAGTACAACGGCCTACTCGTGTTGAACTTGACGGTAGACAGAGACGTTGTTATCGAAGTTGTCCCTGAGTTCGCCGGAGCTCTGGACCGGTTATGGAGTGCTTACCAAACCGGCCGGCTGGATAGGATGCTACAGAAGACACTTGTGTCTGAGGAGCTGCTGAGGAGTCTGGGTGTCGAGACTGTAATCCTGAGGAGCAGTATAAGGCTGCAGGACCTCTGCATGTGTTTCGTACACATGACTTTCGACGATCAGGTATCAGGTATGGATTTTATCTCTTTACATAATTTGGAATGACACAAACTAAACATTGTTTCTGTCTCTATCTATAGCTGGTATGAGTGCCCTTCGGCGTAACACATCAGCTTGGCAGGCACGCGGCGCGGCGGCACAGAGCTGGAAACTAGACTATATCACACCGAACAACCTGTTACTCATAACCTCAGTGCACATGTCAACGCTATTTAGTGGTGATGCCCCTACGGTGTTTGATGGTAGTGAGTGCCGATCTACGATAGTTCTAGGGAAAAGTTTTTGAACACCTCTATCATTGGTTGTACTTGTACTTGAAGGCATGACTTCTTCTTTTCTGAGCTCGGGTCTCAGTGTGTTATCTAGTAGTAGTCAATGATGTCCATGTGTGTTCCAGGCAGTCCGGGTAGCCAGCCAGTGCAGGACTATGTCCGGAGACACTGCTTCGCCCTACTGGACAGCACCCATCCTGTAGTCGCTGGGCTCAACGTCATGTCCTCTGTACCACCTGCATGGTCCTTCATCCTGGCGGCAAACCTCAGAACTGCAGGGCAAGATCACGACGAAGCTCTCCACAAAGGCAACGGACAGAGAAAGACACCGAAAACGGTCTGTGCTTCGCCAGTGTATGAAAGGTCCATAGACTCCATTATTCAATGTTCAACTGAGCAGGCAAAATACCCAAAATGTACCGAAGAAGAAGGTAACTGGATACTAGAAAAGGAAGAATCTACAGAGAAGCCTAGTAGTATGGGGAGTGGTGCGAAAGAGAAGATCAAGATCATAGCAGGAGAGGGGACATTTGTCACTGTAAAAGCTGTTGGGAAAGAACTGATAAAGAAGCAGGCAGGTAGCGCGAGTGCTGCGGCGGGGATCGGGCTCACTGCCGCCTTCGAGGGGGTGACTTTCGCCAGGCGTACGGCGGGTTCGGTCAAGAAGCTCCGAGAGGACAAGCTGTCCGGGGGACAGTTTGCAGGAGAGATGGCCAAGCACGCGACGAAGGGGGTGTTCTCCGGAGGCGGGACGGTGGCAGGTGCAACCCTGGGACAGATGGCGATTCCCGTCCCGGTTCTGGGGGCTGTGATCGGCGGGGTGATCGGGAACATGATCGGGAAGGGAGCCGGGTACGTGGCCGCGGATGTGGCGCCAGACTTCCTGATGAAAGACGGACAGAAGTGGAGGGTGCACAAGGCCAAGGGTGGGGAGGAAACGGAACCAGAAGGTCCGGGAAAAACGCCACACATTGACAGTGGGTCTTCAGATACAGCACCGTCAGAGACCCCAGAGAAAAGCTGATGGTCTTTTCAACACATCAATGCAGTACATAAACTTGCCAACAAACATACAAACAGACAAACAAACAAACAAACAAAGAAACACACAAATCAGCGAAATGAGAAACTCTTCCATTTGTCTTTTGACGACAAACAAGAATGCTGCAATTAGTTGTGAAAACGCCAGAGGACGTTTGATACTCCTTGATTCTTCTCCCTAAGTTTTCTCATATCTTACAGCTGAAAATCATAAACTTATAGAAATACATAAAGGTTGACTTTCTATGATTTTTTTACCGTCTTCGACAAAGTCTAAGCTATATGTTGTTGGTGTTGGGGGCCTTATGACGCCGAGTTGGCATCTGTGAGTCGAAGCTGACGAAATGTGCTGCAACAGTAACCCTTTTAATAAGTGTTTGTTTTGTCATTTTTGATGTAGTAATCCCACTTCTTCAATTTCTTTCATCGGACCCCAAATAAGACCACACGCAAGCAGCAAAAATAATGAGCAACCTAGCCATAGGCTTACTACTATACTAAGAACTGCTTTTCTCATTACATGGTCGGAAATTTTGTGCGTTACGTTAGCTGGAGGATATGCTTGTGTGTAGAGATAAGACATTATCTGTGAGACTGTGCTTCCTTGCTGTTTGAAGCTGACTCTTGTCGAGGGTTGCTAATCAGCTGAAGCAGACCAAACTGTAAGCAGTTTCAGTGAATACACTTGTCGTGTGATGTTATTCGGAAATTTGCTGTCGCATCATCTCGCATGATGCAAACACTAAACAGGATCTCACGAGTTTATTGACATTTCTAGTTGATACGCTGGGGGTGACTGGGTGTCAGTATTTGCTGACTAAACACACCTAAGAAAAAGAGTTAACGTCCACAGTTTAATGTCTGCAATAAAAGAAACAAAGACAAACACCTTCACAAAATATTTGTTGAAAAAAATTCTTCATTGACGTTGTCTAGGTCTTTTAGGACCCCTGTTTTTCTGTACTATAGTATCAAACTGTTCCAGGCTCTCATATCTTAGTCTCCACCAGGCCTTTCTACGGGAATACGGATCGTAGAATTCGACAAAAAAAGAGAAGAGAGTAAAATTGGCCAAGGGAGTCCGGCCGCGGGGAGGTAGTTTCTTTCCAGTCAGAACTACAAGGCAGCCAAACTCCCCTGGCAAATATTCTCCTATATGTAGCCAGCGTAGTAGCTGGTAGAGACCACTGATATCTGACGTCGGAACACACACATACAGTCATCCTGTGCGCTCATCATCCGGTAATTTCTCATGTCCAATGTGTAGAAAAGTCCTTCGCCCTAATCTCCTAGCCACCACCAAGGTCAGAATGGTAGAATCCAATGTGATTTCAGGGCAGCAAAACTGGATATATTCTGGAAAAGGAAATCTTTGTGATATTGACACATACTGCTTCACATTAGCACATTTTAATCGTATTTCATACTTTGGACCTTTATTTTCTGGGTGCTACCGGCTAAAAATCAGCCCAGGGCCCTTCCATTAACCATTTTCTGTCAGAATTTTGGGAATTGTTGCTTCATGAGCTCGAGGGTCAATATACATTTGGATAGTGTGGTTTCAACTCAGTATGTAGAAATAGTGACTAGATTAGTGGCTTTGAAAAATTGGGTCTCCAAGCCCTAAAAACCGCACTGGATGCCTTTAAAGATGGGGAGTGAGTCCACCATTTGCCCTTGTTGACCTAATCCGTGCAACGTTCGATCTAGTGAACGTCCGAGTGAACGTCCTCAGTCCTGAAATTAATAAGTAGCTTCTTGCATCTTCACAGGCACGCGGTGCGGCTGCAGCTGGTTACATTGTGTATATTACATTGAACGACATGTCACACCTTGCCTTTGCACATCTAACTGCGTTGTTATCTAGTAAGGATGCCCCTACTGTACTCATCACTGGGTAGCAATAAGCTGTTGTACTCTACGATATCGGTAGTTTTAGGGCGTAAAACCTAGGACGTTTTCATTGATGAGTTTTCTGGGGCTGTGTATGTGTGGTACTGAGATCAATATCATCTCATTTCATCGTTCTGCCGGAATGAAGCACTATATATTGATCGTTGATCTCTGAAGGTCACGAACTTGCGGACGCCATCCTAAGGACACACAACTACATGTACAAATGTTGACTTGAACCACATCTGTGGACAAATCTATAATCTAATACGTCACATGGTGTGAGCCTATAATTTATAATCTGACGCTTTTCCATCCGGTTCGGTTTTAACTTTTATATATATATCGGCTCTTCCGTGCAAATCCCCAATGTTTTAGAGGATTTGAATCGTATTACAGAACATGTTGCAATACTTTACTTACCATGTGTAACGCGACCCTATGACCAGGCATGTGATAAAGGTAAACAGTTTACCTGCCAGAAGGCACGCCCCCCTCCTTATCCACCTGCACCCTTAAAAAACAAGCAATGAAAGTTCCGGCCATTATAAATAACGCCAGACTCAACTTTGGACCCCAAGTTGTTTTTCTATCCAAGTCTTTGGTTGCATGATATTGCACACAAAGCGAGGACGACCTAACCAAGATACCGTGATGGTGAGACTACCGCTCGGGGTACAAGTGAAGGAAGAGCCGAAGGAAAAGCTAGCGTGCTGCGGGGGAGGGGACGATCCGGTCTCCGGATCCAAGACAGGAACGACGTTGGCTGCCAACTCGCTGCTGGCTGACCTGCTAGACGGGAAGAAGGTTGATTTGTTCCAGCACAACACGTGAGTGTCAACAATGACTTTCAATAAATCATTTTGAATTTTTTTTTCAATTTTGTGTAAGTACTCCCTGAACAGTGAGATCGACCACAGTGACATCACTGTAGCGTTATTATGCAATGCTCTGTATTATATTTTTTACTAGACTGTAGGCTAATAATTTTACTGAATATGTGTGGTGAGTCCCTTAACTTGCTTGAGACTCGACATCCAGACATGGCTGCACTCGACATCCACTCGGACATGGCTGTAAAGATTTTGCTGGTACCAAGGTGGTTAAAAATTGTTTAAAGCTTCTTGCTGTTTCTGTGACTACTGTCATAATATCGTGTATGATATAAGAGAAAATCGTCTTAGGAAAAAAGGTATGTAGAAAGTATACATATGAAAGACTTAAGGAATTTTTGCTCACCAACACGTACAGTACATGTACTTAGAAATCTTGGCAGTCAAGGAATGCATACACTCAGACTGGTGGTCATAGCAAATGATTTTTGAAAATTTTCGGCAAGTGAAATTCTGTACCGTTTAATGTGTGTGTGATATGATGAAATCAAGGTACACATGCAGCTATAAGAGGGGCAAGAGTTGCCCCCAACTTTGTTGATGATTCGCTCATGATAGCTAGAGGTCTCAGGCATGGACAACGTCATCATACGTAGGTGTGGGCGAGCCTTGATGTACACAGAGACACAAACACTCCATGGTCGACATAATGGAGAGCTTGGCATGCTCCAGATAGACACAACGCCTTTTCAGTGTCTGCTCTCCACTACTGGCGTTTGGCCAGATCATTCCGGGCGGACCGATAACTTGTGCACCTCCTCCGTGACTTCACGTCCCAGTCTGTCTGTCGTTCAATGTCAGAGTGCAGACTAAATGGGGCCGCAAGGTGTCGCACATAAGCAGGTCTCTGAATGCAATTGCGCAATATTAAAGTACGCAATACTGGAGTACAGTATGCTTGCCAAGTACAACCAAGAAGGTTTTTCAAGCTTTCTATGGTCTAAAATGTCACGGAAAAATTTGACAGCTAGGTTTAAAAGACGCGTGGACCACAGAAAATGATCTGAAGTGACGGTACACATTTATCATATGACGAGATTATATGACCTTATGTCAACCGTGATATTGGGATCAAGGATAATGGATGGTGGGATGTGTATGACCCAAATCAGTTAAGGCGTGTCAAAAACTTGTGCAGTGTGCACGTATAATTTTCAACTCTTTTAATCCAATACCGTATCCCCCTGTCACTCCTCTGTCCTAACAAAACGCTACATACAGACTCCATTCAAAGTGCCGCCTGCTCCATCGTATGGTCCGCCCATGACGTGACTAAGGCCACAGCAAGTAATTTTCATGGATGACATCAACGCGCGCATTAATTTTCGCCTGATTTGGGAAAAAAAAAACAAGAAATTTTGTTGCCCTCTGACTACAGTGGTCAACATGCCGCTGAAAATGGGCAAAGATGTCTGTTGCCATGCTCGGCAGGTGGATGGCAGATAACTAAACTATGGAGAGAGGAGACAAGAAAAGACTGTACGATATTTACCGGGGGGGGAGGGCCGGTCGTCTGAGGGGGGAGGGCCTAGGAAAAAAAATTTGAACCGGGGGGAGGGCCTAGGAAAAAATATTTTAATTTGGGGGAGGGCCTAGATAAAAATTTTTTCCAAGATCCTTTTAACTCTACAACGTTTTTATACACGTTCAAAACATGATTAAACGTCTGTCCATACATATCGTAGCGATTTGCCGGTCACTGGAATCGGCAGAATTGTACGTTCCAATAATATCCATCCCTATTATTATAATGTATTCGCCCAAATCTCCCACAGTCCCCTTCAAAATCTTGCATTTTCGCCAGAATCGGCGAAACTGGACTACACAGCCAAATTACATGGATTAAAATCGCGGCAATCGCGACACCGCGAAACGATACCGATCAAAAATGTAGGGAAGGCTTGTCTGAAGATTTTGAAAATTAATTTTCGCCGTTCGACGCACCCTTCCCAGTGGTGTGCGTGCGTCGGCAAAGGTGACCCGCTGGTCCCGCCTCGCAACTCGCTCGAACTTCTCGGCGTGGATGTCGGATGTCGACGGATTAATTTGGTATTTTTTAAACCAAGGACTATTTTAACATTTATATCTATGTCCCTCCAAAGTTAATTGAAAACGACACGTAACTTGGCAATATTGTTTCCCTGTTTGTAATAAAATGGTACTGACTTTAAATCTATACCTCGATGTACCAGCAAAATTTGTGCTGCCAAATTTGCCCCTCAACAT